TTTGGTCTTGCCGAGGAAGATGCCCGTAGGATTATGGTTGGAATTCACCCGGAAGGAACCATGAGACCGGACAATCCTAACGGGATTTCCTTGCGCACAGGTGAGGTTCGCCTGCTGGACCGCTCCCACCGGCAGTTGCCGTGGGCGATTCAGAATCGTACCTTAGGCTTGAAGCGGCCAGGACCTCCTGTGCCAGGCTTAGGTGTAAGGGAAGCAGATGATAGGCCCGACCCATATGTGGAAGACTGGGCCCAGCTGCTAGATCCTCTCCCGCCTGAGCCCCGTATTCCACCTCAAGTGCATCCTTCCGTGGAGGTAAATGATCCTGCCATCCTGGAAAATGATATTCCAGAGATCTCTGCAGTGTCCCTTGCCGCACCGTCCAGTAGTTTGGATTCACCTGTATTTCCTGGCAACAATCACGATAGACCAGTGCTCTCTGCTCTACCGCAGGGCGAACAAGCTGCGAGTGCGGATCTGTATGCCCTACACAGCATGAGGCTGCAGGCCATATGGGAGGCACAGTCTGAGGAGGAGTTCAGAGCTTTGGTAGATCCCGCCACAGAGGTCACTGCAGAGCTAGAGGACTTAAGGGCATCTTCTGATAGACTGTCTGGAATTTCCTCTGAATCGGAGCCTCGGTGCAAAATGGTACGGATATCTGATGATCAGGTAGGACGTAGTCCTTCAGAAGGGACCACAAATTTGGGGGTCCCTAGGAATGGGGTAGATAGGTCACCCACCAGCGCCAGTTCTACTGCAAGTGTCGAACCTAAGCTTGGGGTGAGCTTTCCCTCGGTGATGTCCGTTCCCTCAGATGTTCCTGCGCTGCCCTACCCAGAGGTGCAGGCTCAAAAGGTTTTGGAATCTTCGTTTACTTCCAATGTCGAAGAACTTCTTGATAACCTCACCGGTCCGTTAGAGGTGGTGCATCAAGTTTCGCCGGCCGAAGTGAAACGGCACTTACCGAAGTGGAAGGGTGCGGCACAGGATGAAGTCACTTCTATGGAAGAGATGAACGCCATAGTGCGGTTACGTGGTTCCGCTGCAAAGGATCTTCTAAGGCAGAATAACATAGAGGTGTTACCGGCTAAAGGAGTCTTCACCGTGAAACCAGGGAAGCCCTATAGGCGTAAGGTGCGTATAGTTTCGTGTGGGAACTTCGCAAGGTCAGTTGCCGAGGAGGTTTTATATGCGTCAGGAGCCCCGGCCGAGACTCTACGTGTCCTATTGGTGTTTGCAGGTGCCCGCCGAAGATCATGTTGGTCGACTGATATAAAGTGCGCGTTCCTGCTAGCTCCCATCCCACAGGGAGTTGGTAAGCAGTACGTTCTCAAACCTCCTGCGATCTTGGTGGCTCTTGAAATTTGCACAGCGGATGAGTATTGGAAGGTGTGTAGGGCCGTCTATGGATTTAAGGAAGCGCCTAAGTGGTGGTCGCAATATAGAGATGAACAGCTCAAGGGTGCTAAGTTCGAGACACCGCAAGGATTTGCCCATTTGTGCCAAACCCTAAGTGATGATAACTTGTGGGAAGTTGTTCTTGATTGCGGAACAGTTGTTGGGCATATTTTGGTGTACGTAGATGATCTGCTGATCTTAGCATGCCGGAGTGTGGCCGAGTCCTTTCATCAGTGGGTGCGGGCCAAATGGGGCTGTTCAGACCTTGAGCAAGCGACAGGATATGCCCTCTCGTTCCAAGTTGATACCACAGCATTCCAGGTTTGCCTCACTATATATTCGGACGCCTCCTTTGCGCCGTTTGGAGAGCGGTCTATTAGCGGAATTGCGATCTTTCTCTGTGGAGGTTGCATCTACTGGAAATCCCGCAAGCAATCCATCATGAGCCTATCGACGGCAGAATCTGAGTTGATTGCAGCCTGTGAAAGCGTGACCTTAGGACAGGCATTAGAGTCACTGGTTGTTGATCTTTTCAAATGTGAAGCGGAAAAGGGGTTGAAGGTAGATAATCTCGCCGCTATTACCCTGGCAGAGGGAAGCGGTTCCCAGAGAACAAGGCATCTTAGAGTAAGATCGCACTTCTTAAAGGAGCTGATTGATGGTGGCAAGCTATCAGTTACTCACTGCCCAGGTGAGTTCCAGTTAGCTGATGCTATGACTAAAGCTTTGCCAGCTCCACGTCTTCAAATGCTTAACAACTTGCTGGGCATTGTAACTCCTGAGCAGTTACGCGACCCAGCCATCTGTGCGGTAAAGGCGACGTCAACAGCCTTTCAAAACCTGGGTCCGGCTGACAACCATAGTGTGATGCTAATCTTGGCATTGATGATGATGCAGATCACCCCTGCCGCATCTCAGGAGGAGGATGACGACGCACCCTATGAAGGTTTGGGTTTAGACCTTTGGATTGTGGGGTCTCTTCTTGCGTTCCTTCTGCTGGTCCTGTGGGAAACAGGGAAGCACTGTATAAGAAGGTGTTGCGTGGATCGACGAGAAGCTTTGGTGTGCGCTCTAGAGCCAGATGAAGACCGACAAATGAGAAGAGAAAGGAGGCAAGACGCAGTGCGTCGTGCTTTGGAGAGAGAAGAGGGATTAAGGCAGAGGGGCAACGCGAGCTTAACCAGTGAGCCGGAGATTTCTCCTACCAGGGGAGTCTCGAATGCACATGTTCATGTACATGTCAGCACTCCATACACAGCAGCCGCCAGCTCTGATTGCCCTCCTCCACCTCCTCCCAGACCTCAATCCTCTCATACCTTACAGGCGCCTATGCCTTCATCTGGACTTCCTGATCCACCACCGCCACCGGTTTCCGAAATGAAGGGTACCAAGGTTAAGGGTGAAAGAGCTGGGACTTCACGAGAGGTTGCTGTACAGACCAATGGTCCAACAGGACTAACGGATCAAGAGTTGTGTGAACTAGAATTCACCACCAGTAGCGCTAGGACGCCAGGAGTCTTGCATATCTTCCCGGAATGTCATGCGCTGAGGAGTGTCTCCAGTACTCACCGGAGGTCCTTGTGTAGATATTGTTTGATGACGCTTAGGCAAAGGGGACTCCGATAGTGAGTTCAGGAAGTCACTTCCAGAACCCAAGGAGGAGTGTTGAGCTCCCATTCGCCTAACCATGGCAACGGTAGAGTTCCACTCTGCATGCAGCCGTGAAGGCACAATTCGGGGCTGAGCCCCATGACATGTCTTAATGACACGAACGCACAGTCACATGTCGTAGACATAGACTGAAGCACATGCAGAGCATTGCACTTGGCGTTTTGAGTGAAGCAAAAGACCGGCCATAAGCCCATGCAGTTTCGCCCCCGCCTCTGAAGCTACTTCTGCTGGCAATCGATTGACATCCAGTATGGCAACCGGTAGTGAATTCGAGAACCCCAATGAGGTCGTGATGAACGACGATCAACAAGTACCCTTAGTAGTATATGGCCCCAAATTAGGGGATCTACGTTCTACCCTAATAGACCCCTTTAAGGAACCCCTATAGATCCCTTTAAAGGAACCCCTATAGATCCCTTTAAAGGAACCCTAGGGATCCCTAACCCCGATCCCTAGGCCCTAAACCTGAAACCCTGAAGGATCCCGAAAAGGAGCCCTACTAAGTCCCATGATCCTCCCGGGGGTCTGGGTATCCAAGCCCAGTGAGGCTCTCGAATTCATCGCGATACTGTAGAATAGGGCTCCTTTAAAGGGTTCCTTCTAAGGGATACTGTAAGGGGTCTATAGTAGGGTTCTAGAATGTAGGGGCCTTACATAATAATTAGCATAGGGATTGGGGATATATTTTTCTATAATTACAATAAGGCACCCCCAAAATAGTACAGGTAATTATTAATTAAGGCCCCTACTTTACATGCCCGGGGGACTAGCAGGGGTTGACTGCTCGCTCATCCCTGCAGCTGCCAATCAACGTCTCAAGAGCACCCGTTGTAAGGCCAGACCTTAACCCCGAAAAGCCTACCTTTTTGTAGACTTACATGAGGAAATCACAATAAGGAACCCTAAAAGGGTAGGTTATTCAAGGTTAAGGGAAGGCCTAACACAGTCGGGACACGTATGTGGCTGCCCCGATGGCGTAGACAAGTTGCATGGCAGGGTTACCACCGATGCAATTGCAGCAGTTGTCATCGCAGCAGTCGTCGTCCGGCATGCTGCAAGGACATCGCTGAATCAAACATGTGTGCACCGGGCTTTGTGGCGCTGGTCGTGTTAAATGCCTTGTGCAAGCTCAGAGAGCACCCAACAAGAGCCTTCATGCACACTTACACTGTGAACCTCAAACGACCAACCACAGCCCATCAAGCCCCGCATCAAGTCGACGGCTTATCAGGCTTTAGGGCAATGTTGGGAGATCATACCATAAATTACTGAGGATGTCATGTCGAAAGCCTTCTGTCTCGGCTGCATAGAGTCTCAGCTGATCTGAGCACGCACGCATGCTATTGTACTACGACAGAGCCATCTGCTGTTTAATTGTGTTGCGCATTCCAGGGCTGATGTGTGTTCCTATGTTACTGCGTGCATGTGTGGGAACATAATAAATGGTAAAGACACTCTGATTTCTCGTGGGGCTGGTCGCGAACCAAGACCAACCTTCTTTGACCCGAAACCTCAATGCACAAAAGTCCAGCCCTGCACCCCACAGCACATGGCAACTATGCTTTTAGACTCAGTTCCCTGATAGATTAAGCAATATGCTGGATGGAAAGCCAATGGCTCTTGTCGCGTGTTTCCACCCAGCAGAATGATAGAAAGCCGAAGCCAAAGTCTAAACCTTTTCCCACAGGCTTGATTAGTGCTCGCCCGGCCAGAATCCCCAAGCGCATCGCACTCACAAAGTCTAAACCTAAACCGCAAACACGTGTGCAGCTTAGTCTGACTGGACTGGGGCTCGTAGTGCGCCTAGTGCTACTCGTTCACTCGTTGTATACAGAACTCTCCCCCCCTGCCCTCCCTCCTCCCCCCCTCCCCTCGAGTCGTGGCACGTGGCACGGCAGAAACCGCACTTGAGATTGCAAACAAGGCTCTGGACTTGAGGCTTCCAAGTTCCGATGAGATCATGGTATACGGGCATGGGGTCACCTGCGTCAACTTTCGAAAGCAGGCATCGCAAGCGGCAAGGGCAAGACAATTCTTCCCACTGCAACATATGTTCGACAGGACATGCTGTATCACCCTTGCACACAGAACTATGAGGCCGAGTGCGTGCTTGCTAAGGTGATTCAACTATTTTAAGAACCCGTACAGATCCCTCCAAGGAACCCTTTGAGAGCCCTCTAGGGATCCTCCTTACTTACTATGTCCCACGACCCTCTAAGTGACAACTCGAAGCAAACATTGAGTCTGGACGTGTTTCAGCCCCCCTCCTGCCATGGTGAGGTGCAGGTGTTGCTTTCGCGGGTCGGGGTCTACGCTGGCACAGCTGTTGCGATCAGCGACCTGGACCACAAATGCGTGCATATGCCTATATATGTTCTTCTCTTTTTCTACACAATAAATAAATACATAAATACATAAAAATACATAAATACATAAATATATAAGTATATATATATATATATCTGGGTATATATATATATATACACATAGATATGTATATATATATATACATATATACATATATATATATATATATATATATATATATATATGTGTGTGAATAGGGTTTTGGGGCCTTTAATACTTTACTTACAATAAGGAAATCCCAAAATAGTATTAGTAACTATGAAGGCCCATATACTATAGTATCCTTTTCTAGTCTTTCTTGACCCCGGACGTGCTCCCGAGTGACCTTCCATGACCCCTTCGATGCGAGGAGCACGACCTGGCGAGGGGGTGCAGGTCGTAATGCCTTAAGAAGTGATATAGTGCCTATAGCGTCCTTTTTTTAGCTGCCCTGGGCGCGGACTATGCAATTAATAATCAGAATAGGGTTCCTATAAAGGGGTCTGGCTTCGCATGATTAAGGGAGTGGAATGGACCTTTTGTCAATGCAGTTTTCTTCCACCAAGTACACCGAATGAACTAAGCCCTGGGAGTGGCGGCGTCCTCAGCCCCAAGCCTTAGAAACCCCCACCTTAAACCCTAAAACCGCGCTCGAAACCTCAAAACCTTCAATCCCAAGACCAGCAGCTGCTAAACCCTACAACAGCTGCGGGTTTCCGAAAATAGGGGACCCTCATATAGCACGCTAAATCGCAGGATCCTTGTTATAAGGACCCCCAAAACAAGGTACCCCTGATTTTTGCAAACTTCCAGCTAAAGATCCGTCAGAGGCGGGCAGCCTGCGTGAGGGTTGGCAAGCAGCTTCGGCTTCTGCCCCACGGCACAGTAACACACGAACCTGGGGCCGGTTCGGGAAGGAATGGGTCTAATAATATAGGGGCCTTAAAATTAGACGAAGGTTTTGGGGCCATTATACTACATTTCGAATAAGGAATAAACACCCTGGGGCCGGTTCGGGAAGGAATGGGTCTAATATAGGGGTCTTGAAATTAGACTAGGGTTTTGGCGGCCATTATACTACATTTCGAACAAAGCATAAACCCCAAAAGTAGTATCAAGCTTTAGGGATTCAGGATGCAAGGTTGAGTGTTGCAGGTCTGGAAGGCTTCTAACGGTTTGAAGAAGATGTGGCCTCAGGAGAATGGCATACCCCAAGACCCCAAGAAGAACCCTCTGGGATAACAACCCTGACTGCCATCCCCTTCGCCGTAGCACCTGCACTCGTAGTGAAACAAATTAGTAGCACCAAGGAGACGAACAAGACAACTAGCAACCATCATCATTATTGTACAAGGAGCAGCAGCAGCATAAGAAGCAGCAGCAGTAGTAGGAGTGGTAGTAGTAGTGGTAGTGGCAGTAGCAGTAGTAGCAGTAGTAGCAGCAGTAGTAGTAGTAGTCGTAGTAGTCGTGGTAGAAGGTAACAGTCGTAGTAGTAGTAGTAGTAGTAGTAGTAGTAGTAGAAGCAGTAGCAGTAGCAGTAGCAGTAGCAGTAGCAGTAGCAGTAGTAGTAGTAGTAGTAGTAGTAGTAGTAGTAGTAGTAGTAGCAGATGTAGTAGTAGTAGAAGCAGCAGTAGTAGCAGTAGTAGTAGTAGTAGCAGCAGCAGTAGCAGTAGCAGCAGTGGTACTGTGGATGGAGGAAATCTTGCACCGTTTTAAACATATGTTATGTAGCTGCACCCCGCGCCCCAATCTTAACATTGCTATGAACACGGGATTATACAAAATCGTTCCAATGAAATAAATCTTGTACCGCCCCAAGAGATCTGTCGTCAATGTCAAAAATGCGGGCGCGGGCTTGTTGCGTGGATGTGTACTCGAAACAGTGTGTGTAGGTGGTGCAAGATTTCCTCCATCCACCGTAGTAGTGGTGGTCGTAGCAGTAGTGGTTGTAGCAGCAGGAGTGGTCGTAGTTGTTGTTGTTGTAGGTAGGATGATGTTGATGAGTATTTTTGATAGTAGTAGTTGTAGTAGGACTAGAAGTAGCAGTAGCCGTAGCAGTAGTAGTAGTAGCAGTAGTAGTAGTAGTAGTAGTAGTAGTAGTAGTAGTAGTAGTAGTAGTAGTAGTACTAGTACTAGTAGTCGTAGTGGTAGTGGTAGTGGTAGTGGTAGTGGTAGTAGTACTAGTAGTAGTAGTAGAAGTAGTAGTAGTAGTAGTAGTAGTAGTAGTAGTAGTAGTAGTAGTCGAAGTAGAAAGTGTAGAAGTAGTAATAGTAGTAGTAGTAGTAGTAGTAGTAGTAGTAGTAGTAGTAGTAGTAGTAGTAGTAGTAGTAGTAGTACCGGTGATTGTAGTATCAGCAGGAGAAGAAGAAATAGTAGTAGTGGTGGTGGTGGTGGTTGTCGTAGTAGTTGCAATAATAGGAATAACAGTGCGAGTAATTAGTTGTCTTCGTAGCACATGCGAAGTGAACATTCCTGCGCCCAAACCTTCACCAAACCTGGCTTGAAGATCTCAGTCCAACGTCTGAGCTGACGGCTGCGGCTGCAGGTACTGCAGAACATCCTGTCATGCGAGGGCCGGGCAAGTGGCAGACAAGCCTTTATAAGGAGTTTGATGGTGCGCATGTGCTCGCCCATTCCATCGCTTCATGTTGTCTTTGGAACCTTAAACCCTAAACCCATTACGGCCTTACATAGCGACTTTGCAGGCAGACACTACTGAAAACTAGATTGTCTTGCCCAGCCCGGGAAGTCCTGCGAAACATTGTCAAAATGAAAGCCTTGAGCCGTCATGTAGATGTAGGGGCCTTATTGCCGAAAGATGAAAATAGAGTCATAAGCGAACTATAACAGGATAGCACTAGCAATGCTCCCGACCTCTGTGTTAAGTCCCACAGACTCGGTCGGCCCTGCTAAGCAGGCGCAGCGGAAGTGCGCTGTTCCGGAATCCGGAAGGACAAGGAGGTGCGGAGGAAACGCTCCGTTCCAGGAGGGCGAGCAGGGCAAGCTCTTCGACAAGAGAAACCTTCGTGTGATAAGTTCGAAATGTGGGAAAGCCCAAATCTATTAAACACTAAACAGTAGACCTCCAACACCCTCGCAATCCCTCGCACCATGAACGCCGGAAATGTCAAACCCTACACGGCTAATCCCTAAAAAAGACCCTAAACTCTCTCAGATGCACCCCAGTCATGAGAAGTTCACTGCCTCGTGGCAGGATGCGAAGATGTAGGGACCAAAGGTGGTCGGAGCCTTCCGTTTGTTTAGGGTTTGCATATAGCATGCACATCTAGATGTATACTTACATGAATATATATATATATATATAGATATGTACGTGTGTATTTATGTAAACATATAATAAAGTGTATATGCATATGCATTTAAGATAACTACATGTGTGTATATATATATATTGTAAAATACTGTAGGCATCTGTATGTGAATGTGAATATTTTGCAGAGTATGTATACTTACCTCGACCCTCCGATGTTATGTTTCTTTCTAGATTAGTGGGCCCAGCGTTTATTGAGAGGGCTCCGGTGGGTTGGGGCTTGAGGGCTTTAGGCTCCACTGTAGTGAAACTGTGAGACTGAGCAGACATTTCCAAACATTTTGGCCGTACAGCCTTAAACCCTCAACCTATGCAGATGCCATGAAGCCCCTCGCAGTTTTGCAGATTGAGTTCTCAGGTGGGCCCGACACCGGGGCGGTGAAGAACAAACCTAGGTGTAGGTCGCATGCACACGCAACATCTCATAGGCATGTCCTGGGCGTATCAGAAACAGCTAACGATACCGTGGCAACTTTGAAAGTCAACCCCCGAACGCGGCTAAATGAGCTTTTTCCTGCTAATTACTGTACATGTCTCGACCTTCGATATTGCGAACTCCAACTCCTACATCTTGCAATCTCCCGAGCAGTGCGAAATCCAAGTTCCGACCTTCTGTTCACTCAGCTTTCCGGAACTCAAAATCTAAACGTACACAGCACACCATCGAAACAAAGAGAAGGATTGAGGCATCATAAATCCCGACTGCTGGGTAGCACATCTGATCCTCCAGGGCCGGGATCTCTCAAGAGTAATGTTAGAACCGTACCTTCTGAATTAACCAGTCCGTATATGTCCACAACTCGCGGGTTTACGTTTCAAGCGGGCAAGCAGTGATGGCGAAACGCATCACCGATGGCCGCAAGCGACACGGAAAATGGCACCGAAAATGCTTCACCCTCAAGCCTCAACCTAAAGTTATACTTCGAGTGAAATTAGCCCTCCTTCTTGTTGCAATCACTTCGATTTGTATTCTTGCAAGTGTTAGCAGTACTAACTACTATACTTCTGTTTAATGGAGCCGCGCCGGGGACCTGAACAACAAAAACAACGACAACTTCTTGCAAGGCCTCTCGTCCTCTTGGCTCTTCCTGCGGATTGCTCTCCTCCGCAGATTCTCAAGACAGTTAGTTGCTATGATCACTGCTGATACTATTATAGTTGTTGTTGCTGTTCTCTCTCTCTCTCTCTCACTGTCTCTCTCTGCCGTTGCATCCAGATCTGATACTGATATTCTGATTAGTTATGACTACAGGGGATGGTATGACAGGATTTCTCCCTCTCGCACGACTGGAACCGATATCCACAAGCGAGGTTTGATTTGGGTAGATAGGCCCTTGCAGAAAATCCGTTTAACGGTTTAACGGCATGAGCCCATAGCCTGTTTACCGAGGCTCTCTCGCTGCCATGCACATGCCATGCTTAAAAAAACATGCAAATTGCGTGGCAGATTACCCACCACGGATCCTATACCTAGCAAGGACAAAGCCCCCATTATTCAGGAGGCGGGGTTTGAACGGGGGATGGTTGAACTAATGGGGCTTCGAGTCGCAGTTCGGGTTGAAATACGGCTTCGGGTTGGGGATTCTCAGCCTTTGCGGTTGAAAGGCCCTGGCTGCAGAGCTCAGTGCTGCTCGGCCAATCGGCGGGAAGCTTTGGGTTGCTGCTTTCGCAATTCGGTTGTCGAAGAAACGTCATTCCCCGTTTTCGCGATGACTAGAGTAACCTCGAGTATCGCCAACCCCATGAGTTTATGCAGCCGCAAGACAGAGAACCGAGTAGCGCCATCATTCTGAGTTCAGAATCCGCACACCTCACAAGCCAAAACCCTACAAACCCTAGTCTGGACTTCACATCTTACGACCCTCAGTTCCGAGAGTAAGCCCTGAACCTCAACGCTCTGCTGCCAAGCGGCTGGTTTGGGTGCTGCGTCCTCGTCCTCTCGCTGCACCGATTCGGCTACCTCGTCGCTGGCAAGCGGCGAGCGAGCCAGGATTTCGGGCGAAGACAACAGCTCACAGAATATATGTAGTTACTTCAACATGGAGGCCTTTCGGGTATAGAACATGCTTCATGCAGGGCCATGTACCCCACCTTCCCTCCAACACTCAAGGTTTACCTTACATCCTCACTGACGGATCCAAAACACATGTGAAAGGTCAAAAGCATGTGACGGCTTGAGGCTTAACACTGGAAATGGCATGAGAATCATTTGAGGCCGGCACTTGCATTTGCCACGATTCAACTCACAGCACCTCTACAAGGCACCCCCCCAACCTCCTTTTGCACGGCTTCTTCCGACTGCTCGGCTTTCTCCACCACGTGCTCGCTGACGGCCTGAGGCTTAACACTGGAAATGGCATGAGAACCGTTTGAGGCCGGCACTTGCATTCGCCACAACTCAACTCCCAGCACGTCTGCAAGGCCCCCCCCCAACCTCCTTTTGTATGGCTTCTTCTGACTGCTCCGCTTTCTCCTCCACGTGCTCGCCCTCGACATGATACGTGAAACGAGTACTGTCACAATCTCACATGGCACGGTCCATACTTGCGCTTCCCATTGACAGCGCCCGGACCTTCGTCAATGACTTGCCCTTGCCGTGTTTCCGCGCGACCTCGTCGGCCTGGCGATGATGCCGTTTTGCTGGTAAACATCTCGGACAGCAAGTGCTGTTCATTGTACATTGGTTCTGCTTGCTATACAATGTGTCGTGGACGAGCAGCAGAGCTTTGAGTCGTCTAGCTATACTAATACAACATGCAGCGGGTGATGCGATGATCTCTCCACGCATGCTGGAGTCAGTCCTCACTCAGCAACTTGCTTTCGGTTCAGACTGGTGGCTAGAGGTGTAGGGTTGGGGGGAAAGGGGGGGTAGAGAGGAACTTCCACATCCATATGTGTGCATGTACAGTTTATACATATGGGTTAAGCCTACACGTTGTTTATGCATGCATACATGAACGATCTAGGTGAGGATGTGGGATGAGGCTCCGCTGCAAACCCGCCTGAATGCAATAGCTCCTCTGCAGAAGTTTCAGGAAGTGGTGAGGCGGTCGTTTTTCTGCCTCGGACTGAAGGAGCCCGGAAACGGGAACCTTGTTTTACTCCGCCCAACACGATCCCCAGCCCTACACCTACTTTTTGATGCATGCGGCCACTCAACCCAAAAAATGCCCACTGGCTACAGTCCCTGATCTTAAGATGTCAGCCCTAAAACCAAACCCTAGAGCCCCAAACAATAAACCCTAATCCCAAAGCCTGATTAAGAAACCCTGGCCCTATAACCCCAATATACTAGGATTCATATGAGGAACCCTAATAAAGACCCAACGCCCTTGTACAGCGGCTTAAATGATTACCTATTATGCTATTTTCAGGGTTCCTTAATATAAAATGGGCCCCAAAACCCTATTTAGTTATTAAGGCCCCTATATTACAGGACCCTTATAGTAGCCCTTATAGTAACCCTGATAGAGCCCTTTAAAGGAACCCTATTCTAATTATTAAGACCCTAGATGGGGCATTACCAATGCTATTTCAGGGGTTCCTTATCTTATAGTAACCCTTATAGGCCCCTTTAAAGAAACCATCTTCTAATTATCAAGGCCTCTATATTGCTACACCCGAAGTCTTCGAGGATGAGAGCAGGCGTCGCGCAGTCCGAGCCTTCGTGAGGTCACCACTCGGAGGGTCGGGGGACTTAGTAACTTGTTGTTTTCGGGACTTATAAGTACCATAACCCCAATTAGGGTCCCTTTTAGGGTACTTATAAGCCTACTTACTACCTACTTACAAAGTCCCCCGACCCTCCAAGCAGGGAAGGGGCATCGACGGATCACTCCAAGCGAAGTTATGTGGCATGGTAGCATAGTAGTATAGTAGCAAAGTAGTATAGTAGCATAGTAGCGTAGTAGCATAGTAGTAAAGTAGCCTAGTAGTATAGTAGCATAGTAGTATAGTAGCATAGTAGTATAGTAGCATAATAGTTTTGTCGCATAGTCGTCACGCTTGTACTGGGAATAGCAGAAAGTACGCTTATGATAGTACTAAGAAGCGGAATAGCTGCAGGTTGAGGACTCCTCGTGGCAAGTGGCAGGTGTGGGTGCCGCGGTGTTTTCTTCCAGGGTCTCGTCCACCTCGTCCCGCACACCCTGGCACAGAGACAGTTCGGACACGACAACTCAGGTGCGTCATGCCGGCTTTTGAGACTACAGCTGCTGCTGTCACCTGCTCAGTGCACACAAAGCCCGAAAACGCGCAAATACTTTCCCATTCTCCCTTTTTTGCATGTATATGTATGTGTATGTATGTACGTACCGATGCATGGATGTATGCATGCACGCAGGTAGGCACGAATGCCTGTATGCCTGCATGCAAGCATGCACGCACGCTTGCATGCGTGTGTATGCTTGTTCGTTTCCGTTGGTTGTTTGGTTGCGGGTCTATATATATATATATATATGTCCCTATGTATGCATGCATGCGAACACTTGGCACATCTGAACTTCAACATGACACACGCGCAGGCCCTGCCATGATGCTTGTACCGTCAACGTGTGAAAACGAAGCCGCTGCCGGGACCACCTCCTCCGCCTCTCCTTCGCTGTTGGCCAAGCCACAGTCCTGCTGGTAAGGCAAGTTCCTTCAAGGGATTTATAAGGCTTCCTTTAAGGGATCTATCAGGGTTCCTTTAAAGGATCTATAAGGGTTCGCTTAAGGGATCTATAAGGGTTTGTTTAAGGGAGTTACAAGGGGTTGTTTAAGGGATCTATAAGGGTTCGTGATTGACAATTCAAGCACGAAGCACACACAGCCCTCAATCGAGTCCAGAGGGCTTTCGGTTCAGAGTACCGCAGCGTTGTAGATTTGACGGGGGCTTTGATGCTTATGCCTCAGTACTGTAGAACAGACATAGCCGAAGCTTTGTATGGATGACAATTCAGGCTCCCCCGTGGGGTGTGTTTCGCCCAACTACTCCCACAGGCGCTCGCTGCTATCACCACAAATGTAGCTCAACACGTTATGAGATCATACTCGGACTCCCAGTCACATGGGAAGGCGGCCTGATTGGCGTTTAGGGGTGGCGTGCCGAGTTTTAGGCTCGTCGGGTTTATAGTCTGGAGCACATCCATCAAACACCCCAAGAACCACTAGGCATAATCCATGTTGAGTTTGTCAAACCTGCCCTTGTTCTCGACCTGTCTCGGCATGTTTCCATTTATCGCAGAAGTTTACCTAGGGGATGACTGGCCTGCTTAGGTAATGTAGTGCCTTAATAATTAGAATAGGGTTTTGGGGGCTCCTTATTGTAATTATAGGAAAACATACCCCCCAAACCCTGTTCTATTCACCAAGGCCTCTAGAGTACATCATGGCACTCCGCGAGCTCCACTGGCGACTATGCCATCTCAGCACACCCAACTCCAACGAACGGATTACGCAGTGTTCAGGGGGTTAGGGCATTTAGGGTTCGGGGCAATGCTTCTCTTCACTCAGCTAGAGCACAAAAGTCCCTTAGCAAGCTTATATAGAGATCGGCCCTCGCTTGCTTCAATGCTCAGCAAGCGCTCGGCAAGCGTGCCCGCCAGTGGTAGAGGCTTATAACTTGTAACGCTCCCCCACATGTCTAGCGGAAATGGAAGGGGGGGAAGGCTGGGGTGAAGCAGGAAAAGAAAGGACAGCTGCCTGATATCAACCCTCACATAATGTCTAAACTCATGCTCAGCCCTGACTCGAATTGGCGTTCACTTGTGCCTTGGCACTGTCCTTTTCGGCTTCCACTTCTTCCGTTCCTTTCTCTTCTGCATCTTCGTCCTTGGGGGCCTCTTCGTTGTTCTCCTCTCGGTGCTGGGCTTCAAGACAAGAATCAGAAGTGTATGTATGAGAGGCCCAGGCATGACAACAGCAGTACGCAAATTAATCTAGGGGCCTTCACAAAATAGGATAGGGTTTGGGGGCATAGTATACTATAACTATAATAAGGAACCCCAAATAGACTAGGTAATTATTAAGGCCCCTATATTATTCAACTCTTGTCGGCTTGAGGCCGTCGGACATGCGGCCTTTGCTGCCCAGGTTTCGAGGGGTGTAGGCTTTATGGGCCTAGTGTTTGGCATCGGCTAATGTCATATAAGCCAAAGCCAAAAAGCTAGACCCATAAACCCTAAACCACCCGAAACTCCAAGGGTCTGCACCATGTGACTAGTAGTAGGCCCTAAAGCTCTGAAGCCATGAAGTCGTAGAGCTCGGGATTGATGCCAATTTTAAAAGACCACAGATCCTACATACCCTTACGCTAAGGTTTAAACCACCAACAAGCGAAACACTAAACCCACACACCCTAAAGCCGCAAAGCCCGAGAATGAACACCTGGAACCTAAAACGCCTGTTGAAGGTTGAAGTCGTGCTTCAAGCTGATGCTAACATCACAACACTCAGACAGCTGCGACTGTTGATCTTAATATCGTATGAGCTTTCGGAATCGGAATTGCCGGCGACTCATGTCACAAGCAGCCTTTTGTCCCCAAGTCTACTCCATTGCTTCGGGAGATCAGCCTAAGGCTCTGCAGCCGGGTGGTTGTCAAACTTATGGTCCCTTGTTGTGGGTCCGTGTTATAATACGGCACCTAATATTTAGGGTACCCAAAAAGGGACTTTGGGTCCGTATTATATTACGGCACTTAATATTTAGGTACCCAGAAAGGGGAGCTTAATTTTGACAAACACCCAGCTGGTTCACCACAGCTCTCGTCTTTGAGCCCTCCCGGAATCGCGAACCCGGAATCAAGAACACCACAGGCAGCAGACAAGCGATCCAGAAACCCCAATGCCCAAAGACGTCAAAAGTCTAAATGCCCCTAGACACCCTGAAGCCCTAAACCCTGAAACCCAAGTCTTAAAGCCCCCACAAAGCCGGAATCGTATTAACCCCACATAGGGGCCTTTTGGGTGGTCGAGGGCTCTTTCGAGGGTTCCTTTAGCGGTGCCCCATGGCTGGGTTTCATAATTCTCTATATGGGGGGCTTAATGATTATATGCGAGCCTTTGCACGCGGGTTTCTCGGTGTACATATGTACTTTTGCAGGATCATACCAAAATACGATTACAGATTATCCAAATCCCCTCTGTGGCTTCCAGATAGCCAAACCCAATGAAACACCATAGCACCCTGACCAGTCCCAACGACTCAGGTCCCAAATCAAAAAAGGGTTGAATCGAAGCAAGGGTTTGGGAACACGGATTGAGTTGAGATCGGGCCCCAATAAATACAATAAAATTCCTCAGCGTTCCTCATCATTCCTGCATAACGAAAGTAAGGCAAACAACCCAAAACCCTGTTCTGTTGATTGAGTGAGTCGGTCGGGTCGGAGGGATGTCCGACGACGTCCGACCCGACAAAAACAAGGTCGTCTTCACGGTTTGAGGCTTGAGGTTTAGTCTGGGGTTGTTGGGGTTCGGGTGTTGAGGGTGTATGGGAACAGGGCCTTGCTCTTAAAGTCTAGATTCTGGGCTATATGGGACTTCCCAGCCCAAAGTGCGCGAGACTGCAGAACGGAGGCCGTTGCAAGCTATGGACCTGTTCTGTGTTGGCCGGGGGAGGAGGGCTTCCATTGATAGCTAAAACCGCACTGTACGGGTACTGGGTGTAGCCAAGTTTGTCGGCTGCTGTTTACTATTCCGATCTTACTTCCGGGCTCTTCGGCTTCAGCGCTTTGGGGTTTAGTTCGACTGGGTTCTCGACTCTGTGTGAAAGGATTCTCGAACAATACTAGAATCCTCGTCCGCGTCCGCGTCCGTCCCGCAGACTTCTTCCTCTGCGATCTCTTCTTTGAGCTCAAGCTTCTCGTGCTGAGCCTCTTTGGAGAATCAAGAGCTTGCTCAGAAGGTTATGAGCTTAGAATAGGGTCGGACATGGCCGGGGAGTGCAAGGTTGGGTGGAGCTACTCCAGGTTTAGTTGGGGACTCTCGAAATGTAATGAAATGTAGACGTCTGTACACTTCGTACTGTACTTAGTATCTTCCGTGCTAAACTTGCTGTAATTCCGTATGCCCTAATACACCCGAAAACGCTGCCGAGCTAATCAGCAGCTGGGCATCCGAAGCTGGACGAACAGGCACACAGCAGTGAAAGTGAAGGACACACATTCGATAAGGACCCAAAGAGTCGTCGGCATGGGCTTCGACACGCACACGCGCACAATTTAGATGGGTTTGGGGTAGGGGATGCCCCAAAAACATGCCCGAAACATTTATTCCAAGGATAATAGCGCATGTTACAAGAAGGGGTTTCACATGCTACAGCACTACATTGCAACATGTCTTCCTACGTCGAATCCAACACGCCTATGGCGGGGCAAGCTCGCCACCCCGGGGTGGGAGTACCAACCTTAAGCCCGAAAGCCCAAATATAGCGGCCTTAATAATTAAAGGGTTCCTTTTACAGGATACTACAACGGATCTATAGTGGGATTCTTTAATGTAGGGGCCTTAATAATTAGAATAGGGTTTCGCGGTTCAGAATACAAAAAAAAATCAGGACCCCCTCCAACAAAACTAGTATAGGTAACTATTAAGGCCCCTATAGTACTAAACTTCCCGATCCCAAGCCCTTGGAGACCCAAAGCTCCACCCCCGAGGCCCTAAAATCTAAAGCCTAGATCCTTCAATCCACAAGCGCCCCTAATTAGGGGACGTAATCGACTAATCGATTACCAATACTATTTTGGGGGTTCCTGACTATACTTGAGTCCAGTGGCAAAAAGAGTACAGTGGGCCCTAAAACCCAAACTCGAAGCCCTAAAGGCGCCAAGCTTAACCCTAAAGCTCTAGAGTCAGACTTGCAAAAGGACATCGTGCCTAGGTGGAGTCCTGTAGGGTAATGCCATATATGACAGGGTTTTGCAGGGCTCCAAGGCATTTCTTTGAACCAGGCGATCGTTATTTGGGATTGTCGCGTCCTCAGACGGTTACCAGCAATTCCTTGACGTCCACATCGAGGTCGTTCTATTCTGAACTCCCCATGTGGCGTCTCCTGCTTGCCTTCTCCGAACATGTGGGTAGGTCTCGAAAAGTCTCCAAACAAGGTCCGGCTGTGGGCTGAAGAGCAACATCACAACTTTCTTGAGGGGCCGCAAACGGAATCGAATTTAGAGACCCACACATGTCGTATGCTCGCTTAGGCCTGACACACAGCTATGGGAATCTGCGGTATCGTGCCCATCGAACTTAGACTGCTAGAGCAGTTGCCCTGGAAATAGAGTCATCCCTCAAGATCCCACTACTAGGATCCAGGCTTGGGTGAGCTGACCTAAGTCAGAACATTGCCGGAACGAAATCATGAGACAACCAAGCCCACCACTCAGACACTTTTACCCATATTCAGAAACACTAAAACCAAATCCCCAAAGCCGCGCCGTAGACTCCTCCAAGGCCTGAAACACTCGCAGCCGTGCCGGCTCCTTCTCAACATACCGTAATCTACCTTCTGTAGGTCCTAATCAGGTCCTGATTATAAACCCTGAAATGGAATGCATAAGGAGACCCTGGTAGGTTAAGCTTTGGCCTTGGTTTCTGCGGCCTTCTCCCATTCCCGGCCTCGGTGTCTCTTTGGCTTTCGGGAGTGAGGATGCCTACGTTGCATGGATTTGCATGATGATGTCGGAATTGAGGGCTTGAGGGGTGTTGGGGGGAGTTACAAGTAGTTACGAGGCTTATGATTCAGAAGCCCTCCAGCAGCAGTGTTCAAGACCCTGAGTGCAAGAAAGCAATATCGAGCTAGTGCCGAAATTGAAAGGAGAAAATTGGAGGATTAAGAATCAATGCAAGGATGGCAAGGATGCTAGTTGATAGCTGTAGTCTGCCAGACACAATGCATGATGCTCCGTGTCGCACCATGCTGGCTCCTTTCACGTGCTGATGTCGAGTTGGACTACACAACAGTGGCCCTACTGCACACGCTAACAACCTGTGAGACCATGGCAAAATCAGACTTGGTCGCGGGCTCATTCGTTTCCCCAGCGCAGTAGAGACAACCTATAGGGACATGACACTGCACTTTCCGTGGGTGTTTTTAGAGGGCTTATAGAGCCTGCAGCGAAATTATCTACCATGTGCGCACGCACCTAATTTCGGGGCCTTAATGGCCAGAATAAACCTGTGGGGCATGTTAGAGTCAAACTATGATTACGGGCCCCCAATGCATAATCTTGACATCAAGTTAGGCTTCCTCACTACACCCCTGTCTAGATATGTTGTGGCTCCATCCAGCTACAGGTTCAGGGCTTTGTCTTCTGCATGGATCAACGGTGCCGACTACTGAAACGGTCGGGATCCCAAATTGTAAACGGTCGGCCGAAGACTCGGACGAGATGTCAGCGAAATCTACAAGCGCACGTATGTCTAACATGGTCCGCAAAGCAGAACATGTCGAGTTGAGCACTCCTTTCTGTGTATCTTGCCCAGCGTCACAAACTTGATGACAAAGAGAAACAATAGAATAAGACCGCCGCGACTGCCGCTACTACTTCCACTACTCCTACTGCTCTTGCTCCTAGTCCTAGTCCTAGTCCTAGTCCTAGTCCTAGTCCTAGTCCTACTACTACTACTACTACTACTACTACGACGAAGGGTACGACAAATAAGAGTAGTATTCATGAAAATAACAGCAACCAGAATGATACACATGATTATGATGTTTTTTAAACCATGCACATAATCTTACCTTAGATGTTTAGTGGAAGGGCGAAAAAAAGGAAATCCTTTTTTATGCTTTTGTGGTGCCAATGCCACAACCAGGACAACTAAATAACCACAGTTAAGGATTGGATTGTTCTGAATTTAGGTATCATGGGGTTATTAATAAATAAAAACCGTGGTCGCTAAACTTGATAGTCATTGGTGCTCAGTAGTAGCTTTTGCACACCTGTAGTCCGCACAGAAAACTCACACGCATTTTTTCCCCTGCCCCTGGTGGCATGGGGTGAGCCGCCAGAACCTGCCAGAAAGCTCCTGCCGCATGGCCAAAATTGCATTCGGGTTTAGGGTTTAGGGGTGTAGAGAATTAATTTAAATTTTGAGGCCTGGGAGGTGGACTAGCAGCAAATTTGGGGTGAGGTTCCGGACTTAGGGGCCTAAGTCTCAAGACAGCAAGGAAAGCCTACACCTTAAAGCTTGAATCACTCTCATGGGTAATCTGAGTTGTGGCTTCGATGTGGGGAGAACGTTTCTGTGGCGAGCTTGGGGCTTCGAGGTCGAGGGCCTATGGCGAGCTTGGGGCTTCGAGGTCGAGGGCCTATGGCGAGCTTGGGGCTTCGAGGTCGAGGGCCTATGGCGAGCTTGGGGCTTCGAGGTCGAGGGCAGAAGTGGGAAGCTTGTCACTTTCGAACAGGCTTATCATTTAATGGCAAAGGCTTTAGGGTTTGGGTTTAGGGCTTAGGGTTTAGGGTTCGAAAGCTGTGTAAGCGCGCGAATAATAATAAGTTACATTTAAGCGGATAATTTACACGCTGTTTTGAATCAAGCTGCAGGGCGGGCATGAAAACCCGAATCACGAATGCCTAGACTCAGACCCCAAATCCAATCCATTACATCATCAAAGTCTACGCAAGGTTTAGGGTTTAGGTTTAAATTAAATGGGTTTCATAGGGATCGGGTTCAAGCCCTAGGCGCCAGGATCTCGATGTCGGATGCCACTGTTGACTGGTACAGCACCGCCTGAAATCGTGCCGCAGTCTCGGCAACGTTGTAGGGCAAAGCCTGTCCCCGGCAGGTGCCCGCAATGAGAGCCAGCCGCGCTGGTCGAACTTCCGGCAGATGTGCTACTGCCACCCTGACGACAATGTACTGGCGCGCTGGCTCACAGCCTCCATGCGGCCCATTCGCACCACCAGTGACTGGAGACAGCTGTGACAGTGACAGTGCCCAGCCGTGGTGTCCTTGTGCGCGCAGTCTCTTTCGTTCCGGCTCTCCCACAGTTTGTGGAACGTCTATGAAAGACATGGCTGGCTCTGGTTGCCAAGCTGCAGCTTCAAATGCAAGGCAGCGGGGTTTAGGGCTTAGGGCACTGAATTATTTCCGTCCGTGTTCCGTGCTCCAAACCCAGGGGCTTCTTAAGGATACTGGGCTAATGAAAGGGGAATACTCCCTGTCATTCATCGCAAGCGGGCCAAGTTAAGGGCTTGGTTCCGCAGTGATGTTGGTTCTTACATAGGGTTCTCCTGTCCAGGCAAATCCCAGGAGTAAATAACTTGAATCGATACATTACCCCTCTGAAATGCAGAGAATCCAGCAATTCGAATAACCTTAAATGCCGACATGGCCACAACCCAACTCCAGCGTTTACTACCCTACACACGAGTTCTCAACACACTGAAGACATTAGCATCAAGCAGTACGCATGTGCCGGGGCCCATTTCTTATAAAATTATTACAGGATTTGATGTTTAGCTTGCGGGACTCGTCACTTACACACTAATCACAAACCGGAATGTCACTTAACTTACACACTAACGGACCAAAACCAGAATGCCCAAATCATTCACCTGTCCGCAGTCCAGTGGTCAATCAACTTGAGTCGGACGAGGACGCCGAGGCCTGGGCACAGGGTTTTGAGCAATGTCATTGGCATGGCAAGGCCATGTTCACATAAATCCCCAACTTCTCTCTCTGCCGTGGGATCCTTCAAAGACGGATATTAATAATCCCTGTCAGAGAGCCCGCCTTCGAGGACTGCATTTCCGCGGGCGAGGGCGAGAACTCGCCTGACACCTGGCGGCGAGAAGGTTTGGTGGCCAATTGGGGTTCAGAGATGTTGAGTGTTCAGGGCTTAGACTTAGAGATATAATTTAAGGTCCAGGGTTTAGGGCTTAGGGCTTATTATAGGGTAGGGTTTAGGGTTTATTTAATAATAGGGACTTCAAAGCTAAGCCTCAACCTATTATCTAAACCACGCCAAGCAAAGCAAGAAATCCCTGAGGAGCAAGCCAGTAAATTTATAACTACGACGCCTTAGAACCCCATTATGCCCTTCTAGTCGCAGAACGTCGTTCAAATCCCTCAGTGACAGAGACCCGGACACTGAAGCTCCTGAGCCCTTGCCCGGAAGCCTAGTGCTGAATAGATTCCCAAGGATTTCAACAGAGAAAAGGCCACAGACTAGTCCCAAATGATTCTTCGGGGAACCCTCGGGCAGACGTGATTCCGCGGGCTCAGGGCAGTAGTTTCGTCTTGGGTTGCCGTGTTTGCTGGACTACCCCTGAACGGCCTGACCTGGAAACTAACCGTGGCTACCCGTGCCTTCACAAATTCTGGTCTGTTTGGGATTCAATTCTAAGAGGGCCTGAAGGAACGAGGGCAAGTTCGGATGGAAGGAACGAGGGCGAGTTCGGATGGAAATCCGCTTTAACTTTAACTAACGGCTTGTCAATGCGAACTTAGTAATTAAAAACTTAACTTTAGATTGAGGAGATCAGGTCGTCGCTGCGTCTTACATGCAGTCTATGTTACGATCCCTGCGAAAATGATCCTATTGTCCATGCTGCAAAATCTCACGCCTAAAATTCTAAACCCTAAACTGCACTCAGGAGGAGCTTTTGCAAGCAGATTGGCGGTTTAGGTTTTAGGGTAGTAGGGTTTGGGGTTGAGGGTTTATTAAAGTACAGATTAGGGTGGGGGAGGCTTCGGTTTGAAGCACCGACAAGTTAAATGACTACACTGGAAATCCAAGAAGAACACAGTGAATATCAGACCCCCAACATGCCCTACTAGTCTTACATTTATTGACGGTGAGAGTGGGTGTAAGGGCTCGGGCCTAAGCCTACCCTGCGATCTCGGCGGTCTCGGTGTTCTCGCTGAAGGTCTCTCATCAGGCAAGAAAATCCAGGGCTTGTGAATCAAGTACTCACGAACCTCAGGATTCCTCGGCCATTGGGCCATCTCTTGCGTCGGGCCGGAGCCGCGCGGTGCACGGAGGGAAAGCCCTCTGCCATTGGACCCCTCGGCAACCGATCCCTGGGATCGCGTCCTCTTGCCGTAATCTCGGGGTATCTGCACCAATGCTGTTTCTCGAAAACCTTGGCTCATTCGCCGAAGCGTGAAAGGCATTCAGTGCTCCGCCTGGTGTGGTGCGGCTTGATGAGATCTGCCCACGCTCTGGCAGCGACTGGCAGCCTTCGCTGCAGTCAGTGTTTCAAGCCAGCTCGGCCGGCTTCACTACTAACCTGACCCCGTGCCCCAAGTCCCCTTCAATCTTCTGGGTAAGCTAGCAGGTACTACGGCGGCTTCACGTTAAGACCTGGTGACACCCGTATTTTCCTACCCGATGCCTATTCACTGCACTGGCACAAACCTCTTTTAAACAGCTCAGCGATTAGGGCTTATTACTTCAAGATTTGGGGTTTCAGGTTTAGGGTTCAATGCGCAGGGTTTGAGATGCAGGGTTCCGGGCTTGGCTTTAGGGTTCAGGGTTTAGGGTTTCAGGTATTATTAAGCTCCAGGAGTTCGGGGAAGTAAACCGCCAAAGCCTAACCCCTTAATCAAACCTCGAAGTGGGAACCAGAAGACTCAACACTGGAACTGACGACTGACATTGAAACTCTAAGCCACAATCCCCTAGAGCCTTAACTCCAAAAATCCTTGTAATGTTATTATTTGTTAGTAGCCAATTTCATAAACCGTCCGGACACAACCTCACCACCCATGACATGAAGCCCCCAGGCATTATTATTTTTGTTCTTCACATCCGAAACTCTGTTCGAGTCCTTAAATATTGCCTACGCACGACTGAGACGAGAATGTATAATGCAGACTTCCCACTTTAAGTCAACCCCCCCCCCAGTATTCAAAGCACTTCGGGGCCAATCCTCCCAAAATCATCCCTGAAAACCTATTCTAAAGGATCCGAAAGATCCCTGAACCCAAAACCCTTAGCTAGAACCCTAAACCCTAGGCTTAGGAACTGTGCCCTTTAAGCCCTTCAGCCAGAACCCTAAACCCTAGGCCCTCAACCCTAACCCTAAGAAATTAATCCCAAACCC